GTTATGTTTTTATGTGTTATATCATCATTAGATTGTTCAGTTGTTGAATGGTCAGCGACGAAATGTGTGACAAACTGTAGTGCACTATATAGATTCTCGTGTTGAAATATATTAATCATATCGCGTGTTTCGTTTGGTAGAACATTGGACATAGGTTTCACGATTTGAATACCAATAAAACAAAATAATGTTCATTGAAGTATCGATGAGGATTTCCAATTTATTAATTTATACCTAAACAAGATCGGGCATTTAAAATATATAGGTAAACATTTAAATCGCATATTACATTTATGATTATTTATTTGATTAAAATTATTATTCTGTAATTAAGTGTATCGGCGTCAATATTGTTAATAAAAATATTATTTCTTTTTCGCTTCATATAAATTATAATAATATAATGTATGTTATGATGTTTAAATGGTAAATTTTAAARTTTTTAGCAAATTGTATTTTTTTTATCTACCTACCSATTCGAAAGTGTTGTATTATTATGGAACTTTAGACGTAAATAAATCTGACCAAAATCTAATATTAACAATGTATAAGAAATTTTGAGGACAAAAAATGTGATATAGTTTTACTTTACACTGTATAGCAATTTATATAAATGTACTTAATATACGTACATAAAAGGTTCGATAGAAAATCACGCGTGTTAAAAAATTGTTCAAAAATTATTTATAATTGCTTTATCGATGATAASTATGTGATTCATTTTTACACATTTCTTTATATTTGTAAATACCAATTAAGGAACATCGAATAAACACATTTGTTTGGTCTACAATTTTTTATCATTCTTCAATATTTTTGTGGAAGCAAAAATTTATGAAATATTTAAATGGATAAATATAGAGTAGTAAAAAGATAAACTAAATTTATAAACTCTAAAAATCAATTTGCATAGTTTAATTTCCAAGTATCGCATGATAGACTACATCGCCTCTAGTTGTCATGCTTATACTTTAAGATTTCATGTAATATTTCGATGATGAAATTTTGMCAAAGGAACTAATTAAATGCAATATTACAATTTTTTTTATTTAAGTAGCTAATGCTTAAATCCTAATGTTATATAAATAATAAATATCAAGTGAATTTAATTTATTAATCACTAGTTTTATTTCAATACAAATACTATACCTAATTTAAAGATTWGGTACAATTATAACAGGTAAGTACTTACTATAAATAGTATAAATACAGTAAATGCGTTGAAATTATAATTATAAATAAACGTTTGTTCTATTAATAATAATAACTATAAATTACGAGTAATTTATAACTAGGTATAAATGGTATAATCATTTTAAATTCTTGTATCATGAAAATGATTAGCAATGTTATTCAGCGTGTAATCATTATTAGCAATTGTATTTCTCAGGTCATATTTAATTTTTTTATTGAGACAAAGCTTTAATTTGCATTGGATCTAATGGTATGTTTTAAGATGTTTATTATTTAAATCTGTTTATCCTACCTTAGMCTAGTTAAAATAAATAAATATGTCTTGTTTGCTTAGATAATCATTAATCAATAAATAAATATAAAAAATTGTTCGCAATTATAGATAATATGGCTAAATATAAAGATAAAAAAAAATTTGTGAATTTAATTTGTTGTCTCTTGACACACAAACCCGTTATGCAGCAAATTTACGTTCAATAGTTCTCGTTTAGTTTTAATATTCGTGGATTGACCTGTAATTAAATTTCTTTCGGAATTTAAATTTGAAAGCGAGTTATGAACATTTAAAAAGTATTGTATAATTTACATACTACATAGGTAGTATAATAACATATACCTACCTAGATATTTACAATTTACAATGTACATATAATTTATTATTTAAGTGTTCAAAAAATAATTTGTTTTGTTTAACTACGTTGTATCCATAAGTTTATTAGTTAGCATATTATATTGAAAATGGCTGATTGGGTAAACAGGTTTTTGAAGCCGGTATAACATGGAATTTCTGAACTCATAAATACTGAGCCAAGTCAACTAAAACTTTGTTTTGATTTTTGAATAAAATCAAATGGAAATATTATTTCTAAGGATCAATTTACTTTCTTTATTTGTATTACAAAATATGAACAGATATACAATTATGTACCTAATATGTGTGTCTCTATAGTATCTCAAATCAACATAATATATATAATGTTTGAAAACAAGTAATATATTATATATTCCAAAAATATATAATAAAACCGTTTGGAGATTAAACTTGTCGGGAAAGGGTGGGTGTATAATATACACTGTATATAGTTTCATCATAAGCTTTTAATATAATATGTGAGTTATAATAGGTTTTCAACCATAGCCTACACACTCCCTCGCATGAATGCATGTATTTATTGATAAATGATAATATTACAATGCAAATAATAAAAAAATCATGAACAAATAATAAAATACTTTAAAATCTAAATATAATATAAATCACGCGTTTATTTTGAAATACCTAGCTAGTGCGGAAAATTGTTTACCGCAAACCTGCATGTCTCCATGCATAATTATATTATTTTTGAGTAAGCGACCAATGTAGGTAGTTAAATCATTGTAATGCGTAGTGTGTATCGGTATAATGAATCAAATATATCCATATAATAAATGCAATATACTAATTAATATATTTGCATATAAAACGACTTACAATAAACCAATTTCGTCTAATATTTCAAAAATATGTAAATTATAATAGACCTTCGACAATTTAAACAAATCGTCTATAGTACTTTATTATTATGATGTAATTTAAAATAATTAAATTGTAAATAATTGCGTTAAAAACCATACAGAATATAAACGATGCAGATAAAATTTTTTTATTTAATTATGTAGGCAAGTATACTTATTTTTGAATTACATCGTGTAAACATATACCATTACAACATAATTAAGCGAATCAGTTTAATTTATGTATTATTATAGCGTTGTGATATTAAATTAAATAATTTAGCCATTTATTTTATCCCAAAAAAATTTAGTGTCTATTACAAGAATATTTTTTCAGTTACATCTATTATTTTTTAATACATGACGTATATTATAAACAATATACAATATACATAATATGATGTATACGTGCAGCCACGTAGGTATTAGTAGGTACACTATTATATTATATCAGTTCCCATATTGTTTTTACATTCAAACATTTAAATATTATAATAAATTATGTAGGTAGGTGCCTACATAGATAAAAATGATATGAGTGAATCATGCACAAACGTGTATTATTAAAATGGTTTTGTGGATTGATGCATACCTACTCATTATCGCCAATGTTATACAATTAAATCAAGTAGGTATTTTAAATTTAATTTTCCTTATCAATGTTTGATCTGTCGATCGTAGCCACGGGCAAGCATTGATGAAATCGGGGTGTCAATCATTKCAAGGACTTTAACCGGTCTATTTTACTAAGGGCTCGATTTTCAAGGTATCGCACGAATACAATTTCCAATTAAAACCACTCGTAAGAGCAGCGAAAGGCCGTATATAGCTGTAGTCAGAAGGACCTATATCGTCGGCGAGGGGATAGGAAAAACATAATTTACACATTACGATAATTTAAAACGTATGAAATATTATACGATTTAATAGGAAAATTATTAAGATGCCAGTATTTCAGTAAAGAAAAGTTGATCCCCTAAATTCAAATCCACATTCCTCCAAACGCTATACGCGCTTCAATCATTTTTGAACGAACAAGAGAACTGTATAGAACTTATAAATCACAACAAATCATTTAAATTCATAAAATATTGTCGAATTAAACAAAACGAAATTGTTATTATATTACGAACGTTTTTATTTATAACTTTTATGTTTTTAAATGGTTTTTTTAATTTTGCTTAAATTTTTTAAACATTTATTGAGATTCTAACATTTAAAATATTTTATCACGGCACTTCTTATATAACAATATAAAATTGGTAATTATTAAATTATAATTGGCAATAATACAAAATGGTCATTTGGCTGTATACCTACATTATACAAACCAAGAGAAAACAAAAAAATTAATAATAATAACATAGATAATGTTAASGACTAACGAGTCATAAAATTAATTGGATATTGATAGCTGCAGACTGTATTAATAGTTATAGGGAATTTATAACAAAATTATAATAAACGTATTGGATTTTATTAGTCTGACTTAATCAGAGTGTATAAATAAGGTAGGTATAACATAAAAGGTAGAGAAGACTGTAGTAAATGACTTAATACGGAGGATAGCGATTTCCTATCCAAACTAAGAAAAAACTAACATATTAAATTCGATCATTTCGTCAAGGCGAACACGGCTATTTCAGAATAGAAATCTAACTATAAAATTCACATTTTATCAGTTGCTAAAATATTGTGCAGAAGTCATGCAACCGATTCTGAAACAACTCAAAATCTAGGAAATTTTAATTTTGAATTCAAATTTAGTTACTGCGGCAGGTAAGCCTCGGGTCCCTGCAGCTACGACAGCACTTTAATTTTGTACAATTATTACGATTCTATTTTTGTCCTACATAGGCGAAGACTGCAGTTTCAATCCATTAATATTTATAAGCTTGAAACACTCTGGGCTAAAAAATGTACTTTGGGTTGAATCGAAATTTGTAAAAATTTGAGCTCGGCCCATCTCTCGGGGAGGGGGGGACCACAACGTTGACACCGACTACCGCGACGGAAGAACAACCGTTTGGACAACGATTGGGCATAGGTACGCATACACATAATATAATGTATTGTTATTATAACGGCGTATGGCGTTGCACATGTGACGCACATAAGACAATGCACACATTGTTATGTATATATTATTTTATAATTATACATTTAGACACACAGATACACACTCTGCACGTCCGTCCCTCCAACAGCTTCCACCACCGCGTCGACGGYTGCTGTGCAATAATAATAATAATGAATGTTGCCACCGGTGGCAGCGTCAAGACCAGCCTCAACGTCGTACCACGGGACGGCACAACGGCAGTCGAGTTAAAGTGCGCGGAGCGGCGATCGCTCACGACAGTGTGTCGAACGCCTCCGAATGATCAACGTTGCAAGCTCCGGCGGTAGAAAACAGATTTTTTCGAAATTGCATAAGTACATTGATTTCGAGACATTGGTTTTCGCTTGTGCAACAGGCGCGCCGCCGCGGTGAATCATTTTGTTGATGTTTGATTTGATTTTGATTTTTTTATGATATGGTCGAACGAATTTTTTGAAAAAAAAAAAAAAAACACTTTCGAATTAGCGACCGTCCACATATATTGCAATAATAATATAGCGTTTTATTTGAGAAGAGAACAAAAATGGCTATGTAAGTATAATTGAATGATAAAACGGAAGAAGCGTCGTGCAAATGACTCTTACCTACGTATTTTAATTCGTTTCGTTTTTAACATCATCCCCTGTTATTGTCACGTGTCGTCGTTGCAGCTCGGAAATGTGTAGCACCGAGAATATCATGGGCTCCAAGTTGATGATTGCCGTCAAAATGCCGAACAAGGACGAGCCTTTATTGAAAGAAGACTCACCCGAACCATCGAAACAGACCAAAGGCAGTTCGCTTAAACAGGTTTCTTTTCATTGTTACTATTATTATCATTATCATTACACTTAACCATAACTGAAGTGTAAAATATAAAATTGCAAACTATGATCTTTGTGCGAGACTTCTCTTTTTTGTCTGTCTCTCACTTTCTCTGTCATTAATCACGTACCGTAATTTAATAGAACTATTGTGACGTTTGTATACGAAAAAATATTTAAAATTTAAAATTTAAATTTATTCAGTATAACGATCCAACGTTTACGACATACAATAATATTCCCTAAATATTTTACTTTATTATTGAGTTATATATATATATATATATATTAAACGTCATTTTCACGTTTAATGTGAAACCAATTTGACATGTTTACTATTCTATTTACAAGCCACTATATTATAATATAAGATTATCAGAATAAATATATAACGAGGAATACCGAATAATATTTTTACATTAATGACACGCGAGCTAGATAAGAATAATATAGTTTTTTTTATGGCATCGAACAGTTCAATTAAATGAGTGTAAAATTGTATTTTGTACAAAAAAAAGCCGATATTATTTTACTTATGACAATTCAGACGAACGATTGATGATCTCTCCATTGCGAACATGGAACAATGTACTCACTTTGAATATACATATAATATAAGTACCTATACAAACTTTTTATTAAATACACAACGAAAATTAAAAAAAAAAACATTTTCTACGAGTTACTTATTCAATAGCTATTTTGTACTATGTAATACTTATATGTAATAAAAATAAGTTACTGTACCGAATCAGCGTCTAAATACAAAACCAAAAGTGACAATACCCACTGTCAAAACAAAGAATATATAATTATATAGGTTATAAAAATTCCATATAAGTACTAGGTATCTTCTTTGTATTAATTACTAGAATCTCATTAATTATAAAAGCCATTATGTAGCATAAATTATTAAGAGCAGCTATAAGAATAAATATAATATAAAATGATGCAATCATTAAATTATAAATAATTTTTAATATGCGATAATATAATATATACATTATAGGTATTCTAGCAAATAGTTATAGAATCGATAAAATAATGTAATTTAGATAGTTTCGTACATCGAACAAACATTAATTGTTTTTTTTTCTTTTTTACTATAATAGGTTTGACAATTAGAAATTATAACTCAGTCTTTACAACGAAAAAAAAAAAAATTAAACTGAAAACATAACATATAATTGCACAGTTTGATATCTCGTAAACGATGACGTAATTAGTTTATTACTGCGTATCCACACACTGACCATAACTTTAATTGCCAGTTGTGGCGCACACTGGATGATAAAAATCGTTATTTCAGATCCTCGTCGCCTTATCGGCCAACTGGGGCACCATAAACACTGGGCTAGTGTTCGGCTACACCGCCGTCAGTTTACCCCAACTTATGACGGCCGGGTCCAGGATTTCAATCGACAGACATCAAGCCTCTTGGATAGGTGAGTTTCGAATAGGTCAATATTGTACGGTCGTATATCGTCAACTGTACCTATATAATTATTAAAAAAAAATGTATCGATTAACGACGGAACTCTCGGCGTTGTAGCTAGCGTGTCGACCATCGGAACGCCGTGCGGATGCATACTGGCCAGCTACTTCACCGACCTGTTGGGCCGCAAGAAGACCTTAATCGCCTTGCAGTTACCCGCTATCGTCGGGTGGTTGATGGTGGGTTCCGCGACAACAGTCCAGTGGATTTACGYGGGAAGATTCCTGGYGGGCCTGAGTTCCGGCATGATCGGCTCGCCGTCCCGCGTGTAYACGTCCGAAGTGTCGCAGCCGCACCTTCGTGGCGTGTTGGCCGCGTTCGCGTCTGTCGGCACGTCTTTGGGTGAGCTACGGTTTAGTTTTTATTTTTTTCGATGAATATTTGTTCGCACACAAGCACTGCATTAATAACTCCGTCGTGATGAAACCGGTGCAGGTGTCATGCTGGAGTATTTGTTCGGTTCGATATTAGACTGGGACACGTTGGCGTTCTTCAACGCCACGATACCCACGACCGCGTTGTTCTTGGCATTCTGCATACCGGAATCGCCGACGTGGCTGATATCGTCCAAGAACGACGAGAACCGGTGCCGGGCCAGCCTGAGACGGGTACGAGACAGTAAGTGCGACGTGGACACCGAAGTCAACGACTTGCTCATGTGCTCCAGTGCAGATGAGAACACTTCGTTCAAGGAGAAGGTCCGACTCATCTGTCAGCCGTCCGCGTACAAGCCGTTCGTGATCGTCTCCATCTACTTCCTGCTTAGCCAGTTCTCCGGACTCAACGTGGTCACGTTTTACGCGGTCGACGTCATACGGGTCAGTGTTGTTGCGCTAACCAGCGGTGTCATACACATATATATATATATGTTGTAATGTGTTTGCATTGACTTCTTCGCTGTTACAGGATTCGGGTTCCACCATCGACAAGTACGTGGCCACCGTCGTGTTGGGAATCATACGGTTGCTGTTCACAGTAATCGGTTGCGTGATGATGAGACGACTGGGCCGGAAACCCCTCTCCTACATATCCAGTACGTATATATACGATGTGTCGACTCGAGCCGGATGTCCTTATCCCATCCCACTAACATCTAAACTTAGCATACTTAAACTATACGTCTCCTCCATTSTTACATATGCTGGCCCCTCTTGGGCACCTTTCATCGGTCCTTCACATTGAAGACGTATCGAATCCGTCCAAAATATCGATATACGTACAATAATATTGGTATGCCCACTATCGTCAAAAATTCGGTTCTCCTTAAATCTGCAAACTTCAAATCCATCCAACCCTCTATTCCGTACCAATCCAAATCAATGTTCTACAAAACCTCCTTCTCAGATCACGACCACATTCGACTTCTAGGCAAAATTCACACTCCTTCTACTACCAAAAAACAACCCAAACCCTACCCGTTTACACGGAATAACCAATAAACCAAWAAACCATCTTCAAACTTCCACCCACTAGTAGAGGCGCAAGCCTGGTATAGTTAACGGCATAGCCATCTCCCCAAAGCAAAGCAAAGCAGCCGGACGACCGCCGTTTCGTGTCGTTTTACCGTTGTTTTTTTTTTGTTTTACCGATCTCAAGTCGTCGTGTTTAACGACGAATATATAATAATACGGCTATATGKTGCATATTACCGAGGTACCAAAACTCGTACGACGATATCACACTCTAACCGCGGTAACGGTATCGGCACACAATATAATTACAATATGCAATATGTTTTTATTTACAGGCGTGGGTTGCGGTGTGTCGATGCTGTGCTTTGCCGGCTACATGTTCCAGAACGCCGCTTGGGCCGCGGCAAGGATGCCCGCGTTGGCCACGTGGTTCCCGATTGTCAGCCTGTTCGTGTTCTACGCCTGTTCCACCATCGGCTATCTAATCGTGCCGTGGGTGATGATCGGCGAGGTGTTCCCCAGACAGATCCGCGGYATGCTCGGTGGCGTGGCCACGTGCGTCGGCCATTTCTCCATATTCATCGTGCTCCAGACGTACCCGATCCTGCAGGAGTTGGTCAGCAAGTGCGGTGCGTTCGCAGTGTACGGTGTCGTGTCCCTGCTTAGCACCATATTCTACTACTACTTCTGTCCGGAGACCAAAAACAAGACGCTGCAGGAGATCGAGGAGTCATTCCACAACAAGAAGAAACTGAAGAGACCCGTCGTCCTCAACGTAAACGCCACGCCCACACCCTCCGTCCATTGCAACAACAACAACAACAACAATAAACACTTAGCGTTTCCCGATATCGTCTTCAATCTGCCAAAACGCGAGACCGATGTAATCGTGTGAAGACTCGACGACGCTACGGTTGCGCGTAACCCTGATGATGAGGAAATATCGCCATCGATTAGTTCCTTTGAAAATATTTTAAAATACATTGTTTGTTTTTTTTTTTTTAAAACTATTTTTAATGATTTGATATCGTGTCCCGTTGCAATACGCAACACGTTGTCGCAAACACCTGTTTAATATAATATTATTATCGTTAAAATACTACGCGATTAAGTATTGTTTTCGATGCTTTCGAATGTCTGAAAGTTGTGATGATATTTATAGCATTTTTACTTTACCTACCATAATATTATTATTTCTGTAGTGGTAGATATTGACATTTATACATTTATAGTTGTTTTTAAGACTGACTAAAAAAGATTTATTTTAGTTTTAGAAAATCGACAATTTTTTTGTTATACTATGTGAATAATATTTAGATAAATATAAACTTTATATATATATGCGTGTGTTTATATTATGTTACGCATTATTATATATTAAATAATTTTTAGTTATTTATATTCATATTATAACTATAAATTTGTATTACTATCATCATATCTATACTTCAAAGTCCGTTTAATTTAATTAAATTTATACTTAGAATATAAGTTACCTAATCATTGTGAGTAAAAATGAAATATATTAAGTTATTGACATTATTGCATTTTTTCGCTTATAAAATCGTGTAGATAAAAATTTACTAGTTACTATGTAATGTTAACGATAAGTTAATAGCTATATAGTTACAGAAATCACAGTATAAGTATATTAAGTATTTAATTACAATGTACAAACTTAACAAACATAAATTAAATCGAGAGTTCAAAGTTAGATTACAATAAGTGTATAGTTGGGCTGACAACATTTATTGTCGATTACTATTTGACWAGTGTATTGTACTATTGAACTCGAAAACGATCTCGAAGAAATTAAAAATGTGGGTGATTACTTTATCCCACGATCAGAAAATACTTTGTCATAAAATTGTTCAAAAACATAGAGACATTCAGAATTTCAGATGTGACTGCAGACATCGCGCAGGTCATTATAAACATTAATTATTTCGGTTGACAGACGGTGTAGGTCCAACGAATGAAGTYCGTTCGTAATTTCTTTCAATAGTCATTATCGTCCAAAGAGATATATCCTGTAACATTAGTTTAACTCAATCACAATTGTAGATACATTTTTATCTACAATATGAAGTCCATTCGTCATCTAGACTCTAGATTGCGGATTTGTACACACTAAAAATAATCACAACATGCAGTAAAAATCGTGAAAACAAGCAAAACTTTTTTTAATAAAATGTGCACAATTAAATCGTTTATTTTAAAATTACTTATGAACTTAACTTATTGRCCAAATAATTTTTTTTTATTGTAACTGCTTCAATAGATTATGAAAAAGATGGAGTTGGCTTGTTCTTAAAACGGTGTACTATAATTTATGTTAGTTTACCGACAAATTATTTAAGTGCAGTATTAGAATTTTTTACCAAATTTTTTTTTATTGTAACTGCTTCAATAGATTATGAAAAAGATGGAGTTGGCTTGTTCTTAAAACGGTGTACTATAATTTATGTTAGTTTACCGACAAATTATTTAAGTGCAGTATTAGAATTTTTTACTCAACTAAATATTATTTTGAATCTTTATCATTGGGTTTTGTATACAGTAACCAGTAGGTGTACAGGGTGATCTATTTAGTTGGATATATCAATTATTTCAAAAGGTATTAATATTTTTTCTGAACTTATTCTTTTATAAACTATTAGATTTATACTTTTCTAAACCTGTATAATGTTTTAATTTCTTTTTTCATCCGTATATTTATCGACGAAACCAATAAAAACTTTTGATTTTAAAACGTTAACGTAATATGATAAAAAGGTATRGTATCAAAGTAATACGGTATAGTTTCAAATTTTTTTTCAGACAGTTTCGTTATACCTCGATAACATTTTCTAGATTAAATCTGTCAGTTTTTATATCGTACCTACATCTCTGATATTRTCGTATCATTTTCAATTGTAGATATAAGCACTATGATTATGTATTTTTTTTTAAATTGTAACTTAATTTAAATACATATTATACCTTGTACTTATYTAGAGGTTCTGTAGTATTGATATTATATTTATGAGCTCTTGATTTATTGATATAAACCTAGGTACCTTACCAGAATTTATTGTACAAACATAAATTAATAATTAGATATCATTTAACATTTTTAGTAAYTGATACTTTGGTAGAAAGTCAAATGAAAAGTAGATATGGATGTTTAGTTCTCTTGTTTTCATATTGACACTTCCATTATTATTTAAATTAGGTGTTAATGTTTTATTTATTAAAATAGGCACCTAATTAGTAATTAATCAATGTTGAATTGTTGTAATTTAAACTGTATATTTTGTGGGTATTTGAAACTTTTTCGATATTATTTCATTTTTTAAGCACAAAGGCGATTCAAAAACATTTAGATTAGGTAATTTTATTAAGATGTTGATTATTTTTATAATGCATACCACCAATATATTAACACCATTCTACACAGTATATTGACTCAAAAGTTAATAAAAGTTTTATAATATATTTATTTTTTATTAATTAAAGCCTCAACAACTAATGTGATTGGCTTACGATATTTACAATATTAACACAATAAAATTTCCATGTAACGATCTTCTATTTAACGGAAGTTTCTGTTTAGCAAATTTTTTTTTGATAAGCTATTAATTGGTCTTCATTGTTACAAATATGTAATTCTATTTAAMGAATTCCTCTTTATAACGAATTTTTTTTTTCCCAAGTGACTTCGTTGTATAGAACTATAGAAGTTTCACTGCATTATACATTATGATACTACCTATATGAAATTTATACTACAATATGATTAGTTTAAGTATGTAAAAAAAAAATAGAAAAAAACATAAAAAAGAAAAATAGGATTAATTAAAGTTTTAAAGTTAGGTCATTTTTAGGAAAGTCATGATTTTGTTGGAGTTTTCAAGATCAGACCCAAATGCTTCATATAAGTACCTATAGGTGATCCGGTATGTTTAAAGTTGTTCTGGTGTATGAAAAATTACAGCAGAACAGAAAGATATGTTTAACGGTTAGAGGTTCCTCACAGCCCATAGGTTAAGTTTTACGATATGATAAATATATTTCATTACCTAATTCATTATTATTATTATTATATTATTAAAGTTTAAATAATTTGATATTTTTTTTATTTATTAAAATTAAAATGTATCAACATATTACATGTTACAACAAGTTTGTTATAATTTTATAAATAACAATAGCAATAACAATTTAATTTAGTTATATATATATAATATAATATATTGTGTGTTTGTGTTTGATGTACGGAAAATGTGGTGTGTGTGTGTGTGTTATGGAGTAGGAGTTATAGGGAGTGTTATTTTGTTTATTAGGGATGTTAAAACAGTAAGAAGGGGGTTATAGAAGGGGAAGTATAGATTTTAGTTCGTCGAGGAATTTGGTGATGATGTGTAGAGATTGATCGGGTGGTGGTTTGTTAGCTGCGATTTCGGCGTATGACGGTTTTCCTTTTGAGTTTGGACTGGGGTCTTCATTTCCACTTCTTCGAGATGGAGGTGGTATAGCAAGTGTTGGAATAGGTTGATTTTCTTTATTTATTTTTTTAGCTTTAGGCTTGGTGCGGTTTAATATTTTTTTAAGGGATTGGCATCCTTTGTAGTTTGCAGTGTGATTTCCACCGCAATTTGCACATTTTGCGGGTTCCTCCCGTTTTTTTGTGCATTCGTCAGTTGAGTGTTCTGATCCGCATTTCACACAGCGTGGATAGTGATGGCAGTAATTACATGTGTGTCTGTATTTTTGGCAATTATGACATTGAGGAGGATCGGACCGTCTTTTTGGGTATTCAAATTTCACTATTGAGTTTAATATTTTTGTTATTTTGAATATTTCTCGATTATTGTTGTTACGGGCCAAACCTATATTAAATAGAGGAAGTGGTAACTTGTTCGTGTGCTGTGTTATTCTTGAGATATTGTTGACTTTGTGCCCAAGATCACTCAGGTAGTATATAATATCCACGGCTGTCGTGGAGTGGTGAAGGTGGCGTAGCACGACTCGGAAAGGTTGGGAGGAACGGGGGAGATAAGAATGGTATTCGTAATTGGCTTCAATCAGATAAGATTAATTTGATATTAATAATATAATAATAAATTAAGTACTATGTTCTCAACAACAATTAATTGAAACATTTTCAAATTATTTAACTTAATAGGAGCGTCCCTCCTAGAAACTTATTTACCTATTTAATATATAAACTTATTTAYTGTACTGTATAGATCGGTATCCACTTGCCCACTTTTGATATATAATATTAGTGCTGGAGTCACTACCATGTGATTTATCTTAAAAATAATAAATAATGTATATCCCAACATTCCCAACTCAATAAAAATTCGTACCCAGGCCACTACGGCACTACATTGTAATGAATAGTAACAATTATGAATTTCCCACGCGTAGCCTGTATAGGTAGTGAAAATTTAGTATCGCCTCATATGATTGTATTTTAAATTTTGATTATATTCTATACTATTGTCATTAATTAAATAATATTAAATTTAATCATTAAGATAGCTATTATCTTATAAGACCGTAGTATAAATAATTATAAATTATGATAAAGAAATCGCCAAATTTCTGTTATATATAATAGACAATAGTATAATATGACGTCCAYGCATCGTAATGATGTCATATATATAGTGAAGACAGTAGAGGGGATTCGATACGACAACCAAGGCCAAAAAGCATTAATGGACAAATTACCTAATAGGCGTGATTGTCAATAAAACATTTAATAATCAGGTTTAAAGTACAACGATTCTCAATTTTGTTACCAAAGTTTGAGTAGTAGGTATCGAATTTATTAGTTACTT